TCATCACCCCCCTCTTTGCCGCTCCCGACAAGAGCTCGCCATCGCTCGGAAGTCCATTCCCTGTGTTTTTTTCCGTTTCGTGCGTGGTTTTTCCGCCAAATGGTCAAGGATGCTCCTCGATGGTCCTCGCCGACAGAAAAATGCACACGTCCCAGCGATGCCTCCCAGGCGGGCCCAAGCGCGCCCAAGAGCGCTCCAAGAGGCACCCCAACGGCGAGCTCGAGGGCCACAGGAGGGGCCCTCGGGCTTCGGCCCCGCGCGCCGACCACCCGCAGGGCCGCCGAGCTGCCCCCGGAAACGTCTGCAAGGTGGCCCAGATGGGCTCCAAGACAGCCAAGGGGGAGGAGGAGGAGGAGCAGGTGGAGGAGGAGGAGGAGGAGGAGGAGGAGGAGGAGGAGGGGCGAGGCAGCAGCCAGGGGCCCGATGCCAGGGGGGGGGGGGCGTGGACGCTGGGCGTGTCTCCAAGATGGCCCAAGATGGCCTGCAAGTGCGCCCAAGATGGCCCGCCATGGTCCAGGATAGCCTCCAAGACGGTCCAAGAGGGTCCCGTGTGCCTCCAAGTCCGCCCAAGAAGCCACCTAGACGGCTTAAGATGGCCCAAGAGGCCTCCAGGAGGCCTCCAAGAGGCCTCCAAGAGGCCTCCGAGACGGCTCAAGAGGCATCCAAGAGGTCATCCAAGAGGGCTGGAAGAGGTCAAGATCATTCAGTTTCCGTAGGTTTTTGACATGTTTGAACATTTGCTTCTTTTCGGCCCTCCGACGACCCAAGACGGCCCGCGAGCCCCCCAAGATCGCCCGATAAACCTCCAAGATGACCCCGTGACGCTCCAAGAAACCTCCAATACAGCCCCAAGATGGCCTCGAGACGACCCAAGAGGCCCCCAAGACGCCCATGATGTCCTCCAAGACGGCCCTGAAGCGCCCAAACAGGGCCTCAAATCGGTTCAGAGCGGCCTCCAAGACGGCTTCCGACAGCGTCAGACGGGCCAGGAACGCCCTAAGACGGCCAAAGAGGCCCCCAAGAAGCGCCCAAACGCCTGCAGGAGGCCCAAGGTGGCTTCCGAAAGGCCTCTAGAAGGCCCGCAGGAAGCTCCCAGGAGGCCCAAAGTGTCCTCCTCCTCCTCCTCCTCCTCCTCCTCCTCCTCCTCCTCCTCCTCCTCTTCCTCATCCTCCTCTATTTTTCCTCCATCTCCCCCGCTTCTTCATTCTCTCAAGCCTGCTCCCCGAAGGGTTTCCACAACGGCTGGGTGAACACATGGTCCGATAGCTTGGCAGAGCTCTGGCCACGACGTTCGGCCACATGGGCGATTCCAAAAGGCAGGGGGCGGCGGTGATTCGCCGTAGGCGGCTTCGATCCGCCGCCCCCTGTTGATTTATCACAAGGGTGCCTGACGTGCCAGATTTCTGAGAGGTTGTTGGTTCTTTCAAGACTCTCCCCTTGGGATTCGACTCGGAAAGCTCAGGGCGGGATGGTGTGCAAGGGCTTTTCCGCTCCGGATGGCTCCAAGATGCCACACGATGGCCTCCAAGACGGCTAAGATGGCCTCCAAGTTCGCCCAAGATGGCTCCAAGATTGCCTCCATGACGGCCCAAGAGAGTCCAAGATGCCTTCAAGTTCCCCCAAGAAGCCTCCCAAACGGCCCAAGACGGCCCAGGAGGCCCTCAAGACGGCTCAAGAGGCCCCAACAGGTCCTCCAGGAGGGTCCGAGAAGGCAAACATCATTGATTCTGCTAGGGTTTTTGAAATATTTTGCCATTTGCTTCCTTTCGGCCCTCCGACGACCTAAGACACCATGACGGCCCAAGAATCCCCCAGGACGGCCCCAAGATGGCCTCAAGACGGCCCAAGAGGCCTCCAAATCGCCTATGATGGCCTCCAAGAGGCCCTGAAGCGCCCAAACAGGGCCTCAAATCGGTTCAGATAGGCCTCCAAGACGGCTTCCGACGGCGTCAGACGGGCCAGGAACGCCCTAAGACGGCCAAAGAGGCCCCCACGAAGTCCCCAAAAGGCCCAAGGAGGCCCCAAGAGGCCTTGGAGACCCCAAGAATGACCCAAGAGGTCTCTTCATTCTTTTCATCCTCCTTTTGCCTCCCTCTCCTCCTCCTCGTCCTCCCACACGTGTTCCCCGAAGGGCTTCCGCAAGGGCTTGGGGAACGCATGGTCCAATAGCGTGGCCAAAATTTGCTCAAACGATTGCCCACATAGGCGTGCGGCAGGTTCGCGTCGTGTCGACTCTGGCGTTGGTTCCTGACACCGCAGGGGTCGTTCAAGCTTGAACGATCGGCCCTTTCAAGAAGGCCGGATCGTTCAAGGATGGACCGATTCTGGGCCACAGGCGGCGTTCAGCCTTAAACGCCCGCGCTGGGTCGCCGCCGGTCGACACGACGCGAGCCTGCCGTATCCTAGAGGGCAAGTGGCGGCGGTGATTCGCCGTACGCGACTTCGATCGAGGTGACTCGGTGTTCTGTCTCCTCCAATCTCGAGGGGCGCTGCAATCCGTTCTGGGATCATCGTCGGCCTGCCTTCGTGCGCTCCTCGTCTACCTCGGAGGCTTCCTCCCGATCCCCCTCTCTAGGGCCGGCCAAACTGGCCGTGAGGCCTCTCCGAGACGCCCCTTTGAAAGACTCCTCCAGTAGTGGAGACGAGAAGCGTCACATGCGACGGCCTTCTGAGCGGTACTCGGAAAGAAGTCGCCACGGAAAGTGCTCCTTCGCTGGCACGGTGGCGGATTGCCGGGGGAACTGCCTGCTCCGCGAGAAGACAGAAGGGGATGACCGAGGATCTCTCGTGGTGCATTTGTTCAATCGGCATCGGACCCTGATCAGCCATCAGCCCGCAGCATGGTGGATCGGCACGGCAACAGCTTCGGGCGAAAAAGCAAGGGCGCTCACCTGTGTGGGCAACACGCCCTGGTTCGATCGGCCACGTGGAACAACTTCGCACTGATCGCAAAAAGCTCTCTAGTCAAGTAACCACACTGTGAGGCCAGCCGTGGATTGTCACGCTGACAAAGCCTAGGCACAAGAAAAACGAATGCTTCAACTGTTGACTGATGAGCCTTGCGTCGAGGATGGCTGCATGTGTGTTATCGCGCATGGATAATATCCAATGGAAGCTGGCGATCATCCTAACACACGCGCAGCTCATCAAGCCCAATTCAACCACTGCCTCCAACACGACAATTTGCAGGCGGGTGACGTTGCATACCTGTCATGCTGGCAACCTGCAGATGTTATCACCAATGCAGATCCAATGTGCATGCCTCGCTGCTGATACTCTATACCAGCGCGCCGATACTCTATACCAGCGACGTGCATGGAAGAACACCCGGGTGATCACGAGGAGAGGAAGAAGAACGGAAACACATTGGCAGATAGCCTCCCTCAGGGAAGGGGAATCGATCGGGAGGAGGCGTGACGCTGGCGCGGTGCAGAAGAAATATGTGCGAAGCCAAGCCCCGGGTCGTCCTTCGTAGGGGACCCACACAACTGCATACCAATTCATGATCATGCTATTTTGTAACGCCTCACCTGCTCCTCAAAAGCAAAAAAAAACCCAACAGCTGGAACCTCGGCACTAGAAAAAGAGAAAACTGCATAAACATAAACTTTTGGCGCTCCGCGCGGATTCCTCGGATCTGCGCTGGACCCCCCTCCCTGGCACGCGGAGCGCGCCAGCGGCGGCGCCGGAGGCGACGCCCAAGGGGGGCCCAGCGCGGATCCAAGAAATCCGCGCGGAGCGCCAACAGTTTATGCTCAAGGCGTTTCTTCTTCTTCGAGGCACGGCTGTGCCCTCGAAGCCGCGCACGCTGGGCGGGAGAGGCTGCGGTTGCCGTGCCTCCCCCGGAGGGCCCTGGCAGCGTGCGTTCGGCCAGCAGCCGCTGCTATGTGCTGCCGTGCCTCCCCAGCCCTCGCCACGCTCCCGCCATCCCTCGCCTCGCTCCCGCCCTCCACGGCGGGGGCAGTGGGTAGAAGACGATGAAAGGAACCATTGGAGAAGGACTCCAGGGCCTGGGAGCTCGCGGAACTCCAATCGTGGGTTGGCCACGGACATCACCGCCACCCTCAAAAGGAATCCACCAGGGTCTCAAGCCTCTTGTGCACATTCCATAGAAAGGAACATCCTCACCGTAGCTCTCTTGCCCACGCTGGGTAATTCAAAAGGTGCCAATGCCGCTGCTCTCCCTGGACCTCTCCTGGCGTGCGTTCTGACCAGAATCTCCCGGCGAATCCAGCGGTGGCGACGAGGGCCTCGCAGGAGGCCCACACAGGGGAAAAACGGGCGAGGGGTAGCGGTATGGATTCTTTCTCCTCTGACACGCCCCCCGCTCCGCCCGTGCACAACGTTTGGACCGCAGGCTGCGGGAAGTGGTCGGCCCTGGTTGAGCGGACGGGCAACGTCAAACCAACGCGTTTTCAACATCGGGGACGCTTGCCCCAGGGCGGCCTGAAAGATTGATGCCTGACGTGCCACCGTAGGGGTACAATAGAGGAACAACAACGGCATAAAACACAAACTTTCGCCGGTCTGCGCGGATTTCTTGGATCCGCGCTGGACCCCGTCGCTGGCGCGCGGAGCGCGCCAGGGGCGGCGCCGAAGGCGCCGCCGGGGGGGCCCAGCGCGGATCCAAGAAATCCGCGCGGAGCGCCAAAAGCTTGTGTTTATAGCGTTTTATTATGCTTCGACTGAAAGTTTATATCCAGAAGTGCCACCGTAGGGATATAAACTTTCCAGCTGCCCTGGGACAAGCGTCCCCGATGTTCTTCGCCCACCAGCTCACTCCGTTCTCCGCCCGTTCTTCGACCACGGAATCGACATCGAAATCGGATCGGATTTACCAGCCTCGAACTTATCCCTATCCCTAAGATTGACACGCCAAACGGCGATGACAATCTTAGGGATTCGCCCTCAAAAAATAAGGGAATCCCTAAGATTGGCATCGTGATGAGGAGATGCCCAACATAGGGATAGGGATATGTTCCGGGCTGGTAACGGATTGCCTGCGGCAGGATGCGCAACAACACCACGCAGACCTCGGGCCACCTCGGTCGACGGCGTGCCGGAATCAAATCGGAATAGGCCAGCCGGAACCGATAGCGAATGGGATCGACCGGATCGACATGGAACCTGATGCCCTCGATCGATTCCGGCTGGAATAGGCCAGCTGGAATCGATAGGCCACATGGGATAGACCGGATCGAGCTGGATCGATCGGATCGACATGAACCCTGATGCCCGCCGCATCGTGAAGCATCACGGGAGCTGCACTGCTCGCACGGTCCAGCGAGCGGCGCCACCCCCGGCAGTTCCCTCGGCTTCCTGCGGGCCCGGCAGCAGTGCGGGCACCAAGCGGCATCAACCCGCGGGCCGTGTGTGACCACGTGCACTCGGGAGCGGCCAAGAGGGGGGTATCCAAGAGGGGGGGGGGTGCAAATCATGGCCGGCGGCATGTGCGCGGCCCAGGGGGGGGGGCCAGGGACGTAATGAAACAAGAAGAGGAGCCATGAAATCTGGAGAAATATCATGGCCCCCGCCATGATATCCACCCCCCCCTAGTCATCACCCCCCTCTTTTCCGCCCTTGATGAACGTGCCCACGGCCTTTGCCGGGCCAGGCGCAAGATGTGCGCCGTCTTGACAAGCTCAGCGGGCGAGGCGATACCGTCCTGTTCGTCGGCGGCGAGCCGCTGGGGGGAAGTGAGACAGAGGAAAAAGAGCTGTGCACATGCACCGATTCTGGCCAGGCCCATCCTGAGCCCAGGATCGGTGCATACGCCCTCCTCTCTTGGCCAGGAAGGAAGGCATATGCACCGATCCTGGGTCAAGGATGGGCCTTGCCAGGATCGGTGCATGTGCATAGTTCTCTTCGCCCGATGAGATGGGGCAAACCTGTCCCGGATTTCCGAAGCCACAGACGGCTTCTCAGTGGGCCGGAGGGCGTCCGAGAAGTCCCGCCGGCTTCTGAGAAGGCCGGCCCCCCCTCGCTTCCCCACTGGGCTCGCCGCTGGCATTATGACCCCCAAGTCTTCGCCTGGGCGTGCGAACATTAAAGATGCCCGCTTGAAGCTGGCCTAATGTGCAGTTGCAGTCAGGATTTCTTCAGCTTGGGGTGCTTCCTCGGGTCTGAGCAAGCAGTCGTGGTAGCATACGATCACAAACTGCACGGGTGCTGCGATTACCAAGTACCATGCTTTGTAGTGCTCCTCATCTCCAAATGTATACTGAGACAATGCCACGCCAGCCAGAGCGGCACCAGTCATCGTGCCTACAACAGTCGTGACGGCATTGCATGTCTGCTGGAGCTCTGCTGATGTGAACCTGTGGCCACTGACAAGCTTGAAGAACATCTTGGCGCATTTTTGAAGGTTCCCAGTCGCGAGTGCGGTCATTGCGAACAGTTTGCCTTTCAGATCAGAATTCGGCGACGATATGAAATTCATTGCTCCCATCGATGCCGCCACCAGACAACAAGCCCATTTGTTCCCCTGCGGTGTCAACAAATCAATCAAAGCGCCTCCGGCCATGAGCATTGGAAGCAGAAGCGCCGCAATTCTTACCGGCCATCGGCTGAGTTTGGCGATGAGACAGAAGAGGAAAACCCCGCCGAAATTGGAGAAGAGGTTTGCGGCGTGCTCTCCGATGTCTTTCCAAATCTCATTCGAGTCACGCTTTTCGCTTGACGCAAACTCTGATACAAGGCGGCCGATGAAGATCATGTTGCCTGTCTGCAGTGCTGCAAACTCGCCATACCTGACAAGGGTGATTACGTCAACAAAGCCCGCTATGAGAGACAAACCCAACGCCAGAAACCAGACTCTGGTTGATGGCCGCATGGTGAGCACGATGCTGGCTCGAGTCAGATGCGTGTGAACTGCGATGGCTCGAGCCAAACAACTTGCGCCAACACGTCTCGAATCAAAATGGCTTGAACCAAAACTGCTAAGGTTCCCGTCGAAAAGACCACCGTAACCGTGCTAGCTGGTGGCCCCATAACTCGGCTGCGGGCGGGGGGGGGAAGTGAGAAGGGGCGGGCCTTCCCAGAGGGCTCGGAAGTCCCGCGGCCTTCTGAGAAGTTCTCCCAGCCTTCCCCGAAGACACGAAAAAACCTCTCGGAAGGGCAGAGGGCGTCTGAGAAGTCCCGCCGCCTTCTAAGAAGGCCTTCTCCTCCTCACTTCCCCCCTTCGCTCGCCGCCGAATTTCCTCAATCAGAACTTGCCTCTGTAGAGGTCCTGGCGGATTCATATGGTTAGGTGAGGTGTGCCGCCGATTTCGGCGGCGGGCCCGGGTGCCCGGGTGCCCGGGTGCCCAGGGGGGCCCGGAGGTGCCCATAGGTGCCCAGAGGTGCCCAAGGGTGCCCGGAGGTGCCCGGGGGTGCCTGGGTGCCCGGGTGTCCGGGTGCTCTATCGCCCTATATAGCCCTATCGCCCTATATAGCCCTATAGCCCAATAGCCCAACCGCCCATATAGCCATATAGCTCTATAGCCCTGCAACCCTAAAAAGATTATGATTGGGATTTTCTCCTGTATCATAGGCTTTTGGGTGATAACTCGAGTCTCCGGCGGGCGTTCGGGACGATCCGGGCACCCCCCGAATGCCATCGGCGAGGCGCAGCTGCTAGAGCATCCCGAGGCTGGAAAGCTGGCTATAACCGACGAGAGCGTCCGAAAGCCTCGAACCTCGAAGCCGAAACTTCCCCCCGAGCCCAAGAAACCGCGCGCTGACCCCATACAGTGAGAGCTCGACCCTGAGACCCCAGGGCGCCCACTGATTTTTGGTGTGGGAACGCCACGCGTCCCACAGCAAAACCGTCGAAACCCAGGAAACCCAGGGCACCCTGGAGGCGAGCAGGGCGTTCCTTGGCATGGGTTTACACTGCATCCCCACTGGCTCACCACACGGCGCGGTCACCGCACCGGCTGGGAGCCCCCGAGGATATGGCCTGAGCCAGAATTCGAGGAGCACTGCAAGCCAGCGAGGCGCGCAGGGGCGGCAAAGTGGCGCAACCTCCGCAGAACCCTCGGCAGCGCACGGGGTCCACGAGCGCCCACGGCGCGGCATGACCGGCAACGTGGTGCAAATCTCCCCCTCCGCCCAGCGCACGGGGCGCCCGCGGCGCCCACGAGGCGGCACGGGCGGCAAAGTGGCGCATCCTCGGCAGAAACTCGTCCGACGCACGTGGCGCGAATGTGTCGCAACCTCGCCCGCCACCTCGCCCCCACCCCTTCTCATGGGGCGTCAAGACTATAGATGTACGTTAGCCAGCGTACACCCCAAACAGTGCGTTATTGTACTGAGGAGGGGGAAGCTGTGCGGTGTAATCTATTTGGTGGTAACTATAAGGTGTGAGCCATGGAGGTGAACACTATGCGGTGTGAGCTGCATGGTGTGAGCTGTACGAAGCTCGGCGGTGCAGCCTGGAGGTGTTGCCTTTGGGGGGTCTCAGCGATGTTGGTGCACGCTTTGTGGTGTCATATCTGTGGTGTAAATCAGAAGGTGCAAGCTATCTGCTCTAGGCTATTTACCAGCCTGGAACATATCCCTATCCCTATGCTGGGCACCTCCTCATCACGATGCCAATATTAGGGATTCCCTTATTTTTTGAGGGCGAATCCCTAAGATTGCCATCGCCTTTTGGCGTGTCAATCTTAGGGATAGGGATACGTTCGAGGCTGGTAAGCTATGTCGTGTCAGCTCCGAGCACGTGGCGCCCATGCGGCATACTCCCCCAGCGCCTGGGGCGCTCACGAGGCGGCACGGGCGGCAACGTAGCGCAACCTCGGCATACCACCCTCACGCGGAGCGCCCACGAAACGCCCACGAGGCGGCATGAGCGGCAACTTGGCGAAAACTCGAACACCATACCAATTCTGAGGGAAACGAGGTAAGAACCCCGAAGTGCGAGCCCTTGCGAGGCGAGGCGAGGCGAGGCTGCGCCTACGTCGTCCAAAGGAAGAACACCTAAGTGCAAAACACTCTTCGGAGAAAGAGCCAAACTTGGATGAACAGAAAGCGGCATAAACAGAAACTTTCGGACATAATTCTGACTTCTGAGCTGGAACCTTCTGGCGGCGCCTCCGGCGCCGCCCCTGGCGCGCTCCGCGCGCTCTGGAGGGGGCCCAGCGCCGATCCAAGAAATCCGCGCGGACCTCCGAGCATGCATTACCGCTTTCTCTTCTTCGGGACCTTGCCATCGCTTCGGGTCGTGCAGCGCGCACGCGCACGCGGACTCACGTGCACACTCGCACGCTCGCGCACCCGCGCACGCGGACGCGGGCTGCCCCCGTCTGAGAGCGAGGCGTGTCTACATTGCTTGGACACCCAGCCCAGGGCTCCGTCACCCCACCCCGACTTTCTTCATCCTCTTGAAGCCCTAAGCGGGGTGTGGCTCCAGCGCCTAATTTCTATGAGGGAAGGTGGTTCCAGCAAATCATGTCGTCAAGGCGGGTGGGTTCCAACACCCAGATTTTACGAAGAAGAATGGTTCCAACAACAAACGCCGTGGCCTCCAGCACCCAATCTAGACGAGAGAAACATGTCAGCGAATTATGCCGTCAAGAAGGGTGGCCTCACACCATTTTTACAAGGGCCAACGGTTTCAGCAGCCCACGGCGTGGTTTTATCAACCAATTCTGACGAGGGAAAGCCGCTCTCGCAGGCGATGCCGACAAGACGACCAGACCTCGTCTGACAAGGCAGCCAGGGCGACCCGCGCCCCAGCCACGAACCCTCTTACAGTCCGTCGAAATTCCACCAGCAAAATATTCACCTGGCTATAGGTGTTCCCATGTATTCCCAGGAGGCGCAAGCAGTGCGGTAGGGTGTGCACGTTTGAGTCCGAAGCTTACGCGGAAGTGGAGCTCTGGGAACACGAGAAGCAGGGTGAGCACGGCGAAGACTCGAAGACGGCCATGTGCACTGTAGCGCATTGCTTGCTCACCGAAGATCGTGGCTGGCCGGGCCAAACCTGCAGCGGGCATTGAGGCGACAGCACCATTCCCGAATGACTTGTGAGGAAGCCTCAGGCGAAACCGCCGCCGGATCGCCGCTGGACCCGGCGGTCTCGGGTTCCCCGCTCCCCCATGGGACCCTTCTTTGTGATCCGCATGTTTGCCACGATGAGAACCATCTAGCGAAATCTCTGTGGCAACTCGTGGGAGATTCCCAGGCCGTCTTGCTGGCTCTTGCGAAGCGAGTCTAACCAACGCGAGTCGACGCTCGTTGACGCAACATCGGCGCTTTCTCGTCGATTACCAGACGCTAGAAGACGGAACTGCGAGGGCATACGAGTCCCGCATGATTTGCTACCGAAGTTGTCTCGACTGGCGTCAGGGACGACGACGAGGAGGACGGCGACGAGGAAGACGCTGGAGAAACCAAGAAATACCGATACCGCTGCTGCCCGGACCTCTGTCGGTGTGCTCTGACCAGAATCTCGATGCAAGTCCAGTCGTGGCCACGAGGCCTCCCAGGAGGCCCAAAAAGGCAAAAACGAGGGAAGGGTAGAAGTCAGAGTGAGGGGTCCGAACGGTCGTTCGCTGTTTCTGGGTGCGTGGCTGAAGTGGGATTCCGCGATGCAGATTGTTGTAGTTGTTGCTGTTGTTGTTGTTGTTGCTGTTGTGATTGCTGCTGCTGCTGCAGTTGCTGCTGTTGTTGTCGTTGGTGGTGTTGGTGGTGTTTTTGTTTGTTGTTGTTGTTGTTGCTGTTGCTGTTGCTGTTGAACATTATTAATTCTAAAGAATAATTATTGTTGGGGCCCCTGGTGCACGGCCCCCCTGCGCCGCCTAGGCCGCAGCTACATTTTCATCATTTTCGTGAGGAAGCCTCAGGTAATTCGATGTGATCAAGATCCGGTTGTTTTGTTCCCCCCCGCTTTCCCTTGCAAAAAACACTATAAAATGACATTTCTTGTTCTAATATAATCAAATTTCAAGAATCCCTTGCAAAAAATAAGGTAAAGTGGACATTCGCGCGCGCAAGACGAAATCCTTCCAAAAGCTTAGTGTTCGGAGCGATTTTAACATAAAAACATCAAAAAACCAATGGTTTTTCAACAAAAAAATGTCAAAATCTCATCCCGCGCGCTCTTGCGGATTCGTAGGAAACCCAACACTTTTTAAACATTTCTGTCAAACGGGCTTTTGCGAGCAACTTTTTCGAACTTCTGCGACAACGGTTGCGCACCTGCCAGGGCCATCATCCCTGTCAAATAATACCATGCGGGACACATTCGTTTTTTCTTCGCGCGCGCACAATTGCACCATGCTGGGCACATGCGCGCCCCGAATAAGTGACCAAGTTCTGTGGGTGTGTACCCCACGCCAGTGTAGTAGCCACGGTCGTCCGCACGCCACGAAGTGAAGTGTCCCAACGTCATAGGGCGGGAAGCTGGGTTTGGGTGGTCGCGAAGAGTCGTTTGGATATTTGGTAGAGCTTGTAATGCCCCCCCACGAAGTGGGGGTATTGCCTGGTGTCGTATGAAAACCCTGGCACTGGGGAGAACACCACGCGTTCGGGTAAAATGATTGTTGTTGTTGTTGTTGTTGTTGTTGTTGTTGATTTCTCGCTACTGGAAAACAAGTGGCAAGCGTGTCATGGCTCTTGCACGAAAGGGAGGGGGAAGGAGGAGGAGGAGGAGGAGGAGGAGGAGGAGGAGGAGATACTAAATCGTCTTTGAGATCCGGGAGATGTTTTTTTTTCACTTTGGGCGTTTTCACCTGGCTTCGGGACCCGGGACCATCACAGCCCGGTCCAGCTCGAACACAGCCGCAAGAAAACGGGTCTAGGGCCCCCGCCGTGATTTCTCGCGATGTTGCAAGTGTGCTGCGACGTCTCAAAGTCTCGCGGAGCGCACGCCAGAGTCGCGCGCGCTCCTCCGGGGA